TGTTGAGTAAATTAGGAGATCAGGAGATTTCTGTCTCTCAAATAAAAAAAAGAATTTAAGGAAACAACAAATTTATCTGACTACAGAAACTTTTTTGGTTTGCAGCATCTCATGATATCAGCATTCTGTGAAACGCATTTGAGAACTTCAGCTTCAATCATTTAATAATGCATTGGGCACTGGAGATAACAAAGATATTTTTTCATTTTGTGTGGAGCTTACACTGAAGTAGCACCTAAAGGAGCCCTCATTTGATCAGTGTGGCTGGTCAGCAGTATCATAGCACCATTGTCGATCAGGTTTATTCTGGATAGACTACCAGAAGTGGGATGACTTGCTCAAAACTGAAATGACTTAGGTTCCTAGATTTCCAACTTTCTTAGTAGTTACAGACCTTTTATTTAAGCCTACTATTCCAAAGACAATCAATTTGTAAAATATATAGAAGGCAGGCTGTTTGATTGACTTGGGGGTGAGTGTATAGAATCTTTTCTCTTTGGGTTCCTGACTTCTACAGTGCTCTCTAATTAGTAAATTTGAATGGCATCAATTAGATGAAAATCACATAAAGGCATCCTTAATGAACACTTACAGAACTCCAATTGCTGCAACATACAATATTACAGCAAGTGTTTAAGTACTATAAGGTGGTTATTTATACTTGTCAGGTTTCCCAAATAATTTTTGAAGATCTCAACAAAAGTGAGAGTGTTCTTATGTGAGTACGTTAGTCAATGAGAATGTTTTAGAAGGAAGAATATTTCCAGTTGATAAAAGAGAATGAACACTTTTTAAAAAAAGTTTGTGTTAATTTTCTCTTGCTGGTGTACAAATTGCGATATAAAATAATACAAATATATTATCTTAAAGTTCTGTACATCAGAAATCTCACATGGGTCTCACTGGGATAATTTTCAAGACTTTGGCCAAGCTTCTTTCCTTCTACAGGCTCTGGGAACAGTTTTCTTCCTCATTTTTTCCAGCTTCCAGAGGTTTCCTGCATTCCTTGACATGTCCTACTTCCCCCATGTTCAAAGGCAGCCAATTGGGTCTTCTGTGACCCTACTGTGTCATGACTTGTCTCACTGCCCACAGCATAGATAATCCAGGATAATTTTGTTATCTCAAGGTCTACATTCCTAATGTTGTCTGCAAAGTCCCCTTTGCCTTGCCAGGTAACATTCTCAAATTTGTGGATTTAGAATGTGAACATCATTGTGCACTCATTATTCTGTCTGCCAGAGGTTTTTGAATCCCTCCCCACAATGCTAAATCACTCTGTCATTGTTTCCCAAATTTACATAACTAATGAACCTTGTTTCTTCTTCTTTGCCTGTAGGTCCTTCTCTGAAGAAGCAGGGAAATATTACTAATCCTTCAAGCTTCTGGGCTGGAGACTCCTGCTCTGAGACCCCTTCCTCCAATGCCTGTGTTTGCTTCTCTCTCTGTGTCCCCATAAAGAGTGGCTTCTGTGTTTCCATTTGTGACCTCCCAAGAGTTAATAATCTGAGCTCTTGAAAGCTGGATCAATCCCATTACCATTATATTTTTAAAGAATAGACTGGCTAAGTGATATTTTAGAGGTACTTCTTTGATGGCCCTCTCACATGCTATGCTATCATTTATGTGCCAACTACTATCAAATCATTATCTTCAAATCTGATTCCTCCCAGAAACCTCAATTCACTTAGCCAATTGCTTATAAGAGATCTCTTAGATGCCAAATGAACGTCTGCATTAGGGAACCCTAAGACTGCTCTCCAGTTAGATGATTTGCTAGAAAGGCTCACAGAACTCAGAAAAGCTCCTATACCTATGGTGAGTAATTATTACCATGAAAGGATAAAGGTTGAGACCAGCCAAAGAAAAGGGACAATGGCCAGGAGAAATCAGGTGCCAGCTAGCTTCTGTCAGTATCTCCTGGAGAGTTGTGTGTTCAGCTCTTAGTTTTCCCAGCATGTGTGATCACACATGCAAAGTATTGCCAGAGAGAATCTCACCCGAGCCTCGGAATCCAGAATTTTGGCTGGAGATCCCTCTGTGCCTGTGTGACTAACCGTAGCTCCTCAGTCTATAGCTCTGCCAAAGGTCAGACTGATGGAGACTTGGGGCTCCAGTGAAGCAAAATTATGTGTTCATCATAACTCACATTGTTAGCATGAACTGTCTAGCACTGGTCAAGACTCCGGGTATACAAAGAAAGTCTGACCAGCCAGGCCATCTTAAGAGCTTAAAGGTTATTTTCCAGGAGCTGGTCAAAGACCAGTCCTCATTCGCAATGTGAGGAGTTTGCATATCCCAAGCCTGAGTTAGACCTTCACTGCACAGAATCTCAAATATGGCATGACTAAATCAGAGCCTACTCATAAATGAGATTGTCCCATTTAAGTAAATGATGTCTGTATCCATCCATTGGCTCAGATGAATAGGGGACACACACACACACACACACACACACACGGAAAGATATCTAAGAATCATTAATTTCTTCTCTTCACCTTTATATAAGTTTCCTTGGCAAGTGTGCACAACTCTCCCTTAAAGAAAAATATTTCTAAAACTTGCCTGAAAACTTCCCCTTTTTTTTCCTCTCTGCTGCTATGACCATTGTCTCATGTGCTATGGCTGGAGTCTCCTAAGTGATTTCCTCCTGTCTGACTTCAGTCTGCTCTACACAGAGCATCCAGAATGATCTTTGGAGAGTTGTTCTGATCATGCATGACTCCCCTTAGATCCCCCAGTGGTTTTCCGTCACCAGATTCAAACTCCTCTCTGATTAAGAAAGCTGTAGATCAGCTAGCCCCCATTGAACTCCCTCTCTTTTTTAAGATAAAGATTTATGTATTTGAAAGGCAGATATACAGAGGAAGAGATTCAGAGAGAGATTCTCCATCTGCTTGTTCACTCCCCAAATGGCTGCAGTGACTGGAACTGGGCCAGGTCAAAACCAGGAGCCTGGAACACCACCATGTTGGGCTCCCATACAGGTGCCAAGGCCCTAAGCTCTTGGGCCTTCTTCTGCTGCTTTATCAGACACATTAGCAGGGGCTGGATCCAGGGTGGAACAGCTGGGACTTGAACCTACACCCATATGAGATGCTGACATAGCAGACAATGGCTTAATCCACTGTGCCACAAGACTGGACCCTGTTGATCTCTTTAATCAGACCTTCATCACTCTGTCTCTCCCCATCTATGATTATATCAAAGTGACCTTCTTTTTGTTACTTGAATTTGCCAAACTTGTCTTTGCCACCTGGCCTTCTCTTCTACTGTTCCACCACTTGACATACTCTTCCTCTGTTTTCATGTGCCTGACTCCCTGTCATCATTTGTAACATTCAACTTCAATATTAACCTCTTCAGACATGCTTTTCCTGCCTGTTCCCCAAAAAGGTAACTAATTACTCACCTTACCTAGCTCCATTTTAGTTCTTTGAGTTGTATTATAGTCATCAATATCGAATAGCTTTCATTGTTTTCTAGCAAAACATCTATGTTCTATCTCTCCCTTATCTCTGCATTATACTTTTATACTTGAAACATTCAATGAAAAATAGAATTAAAAGATAATGCCCATTTGGGGGAATTTTTTGAACATCCTTTGTGTGTAAGACACCATGAATTCAGGGTCTTGCATGTTTCCTTTGAATCCTTATTGACACTTAACTGACACTCAATGAATATTTACTCAATGGATAACTTTTTCATCGCCAGAAGTTAAAAGGTTGTTTGGAATATGACTAATGTCTAACAAATAGTTGTTTAACTGATTTTACATAGTAATAATAATGGGGGATAAAATTCCAAAAATGGCATCTAAGTTTAACTTTCATAATTTTGTTTACTTCTTTCCATTCAGTAATTTGTATGAAATTGCCTTGATTTTTAGTTTTAGCTATTTTTGGAAAAACAAACTGATTCATATAAATCTTGGTGAATTTCAGCAACATGTTTAAATTTGATTTTAAGGTTGACATGGTTTCTGCATATTTTATAACTGATCAAATAATCAACCAGAAACACATTGAAGTGTCAGGTGGATATGATTATTTGCTTGGTATGTCTAGACTTTTAGACTAGGAATTTCACATTTGGACTAAAAGTGCCATATCAGTATTTTTATTTCATTGTGTGTCATATTGCTTTTCTCTTTAGTGTTGTTACTTATGTTGTTTATTTCTACTGAATAATAGTGACAGAGGGATGTCACTAAAGTTTAATACAGAATTTAGTTATCATGGTTGAGTGATGATGATAAACAGAATCAATGATAAACAAACTTATTTCCATAGTAAACTGAATTATAATTGCTGAACACTTATTTCTTGTTTTGACAAATCTAATAACCTTCTAAAATAATCCCAGTTTGATAACTTTCTATTACCATCAAGAGCACATTGTGACATCCGATTCCAAAGAGTATTGAGTAATTGGCTTGAATATGCTGACAACAAATGTGCACCAATTGCTGAAAACCCTGGAAGCAGATGAAAGCCCAGGAAACGAAGCAAGCGTATTTGGATAACTGTAACTCACCTCACTATCAAACTTGGGATTGAGAATGGCATGCACTTAAAAATGTTGCTAACTCTTGATCTGCCAAGCTGGCAGGTTTCCCAATATTGCATAACCAATCACTAGCTCAGTTTAAGCTTTCCTCTAGATCCACTGCCTTTTGGACTGTCATATGTGTATCTGTGACTTGATCCTGATGCTGCTGTTCTCGCTGGAACATGACGACAAACCACATCACATGCTTCTCTCCTTCCCTGCACCCTGGCCCTGATATCCTGCCAGATTTTGCTGACATTAAACAAAGTCTTTAGGGTTCAGCAGGGTTGGGCGGGTGCACCAGACACATCAGAGGCAAATGTGTAACAGCATGGAGCGTTTCTGCCTGGCTTGTTGGGTTTGACATGCCAGAATAGCCCAGAAGGAATAGCAGTGCCTTTCAAGTAGCTGAGATGTTTCCCTGATGTCACTTCTCTGCGTTTTAGATCAATGCCTGGAAGATGAATCGGAACATTTGAGGAAAGTCACCGAGGAGGTGGAAAGGTTGCGGGCATGAAGCACCCAAGCCCTGAGAAGAGGTACGGTTAGATGTGTGAGCAGGAAAAACAAAGGGCTGAGGCATTGGAGTCCTAATTGACAATGGCACAGCTGTGACAACAATTTGCAGGCCGCCTGACCTATTTGATGAAAGGGCCTCTGCTTTCCTTGGAATCCCAGGGTAGCAGTGGCTCATAGGAACGCACCACTCCTGTTTCCAGCTGGCTCAGCTTCGTAAATACCTAAACTCACAGATGACATTTTTAATGCTCTGAAATTTGCTATTCTGCACTTGTTATTTATTGCAATTCAATGTATCCATTAATGCATCTATCATTGATAAATTTGTCACTGCTTCAGGAACACAGTCCATCACTTGGCATCAGTTTTACTTTACAAGCTATTAATGTGCTATAATGCAGCATACAGTATCATGTGGATACATTGGATTAGAGAGGTGCCAGAACCAGTCAGACTGAACTGAGAATTGCAAGAGGACTGAAATTCTTAATTTATTTATTATGAGGATGAACAGCCTTGGTGCACAATGAACGTATTCATATAACAGGTGTATCACTCTCACTTTTTCAAACAGGCACTGAGAGGAACAAATTTAAGCAATCTATTTTGACTCAGTTTGAAGCATAGCAGACTTATAATATTTTGTTGACACTTGACATGTTTATTCTTCTAGCAGGCTCATAATCATATTTTAATATTTTCTGTATTCAATTAGCACTTTTATTCAAGATACAACGATGGCATATGAGTCCAGGAGATAGGCACAACTATGGCTTTCTGAAAGTGAGCGAATAAAAATGTTAAAATGCTAATAAAGAAAACACAGGCTTTCAGTGCATCTTGAGATATTCCTGCTTCCAGGAAAATTTAACAATTTCTGTTAAAAATAAATAAAAACAAAAGGCACCTGTGCAACAGAAAAAAAAAATACTGGAGATTTTATAGGGAGGAACCATGCTCATGGGTGCGGACATCATTTCATTCTGTAATCTGAATCTGGCACATCACTGTTAATGTCCACACACTCCAGAGGCTGGACTGGGTCAGAACAGCCCGAGCTATTTTAACCTTTCTGGCTATAATGAAATGCTTGAGCCATCTAAAAAAAATCTCATTGTACCAAGAGTACAAGTCAGTCTGTTATGCACTTCAGAACTCTGCTTGTGAAGTCCTGCACTATACACCTGTGAAAACTATGATTCTAGACAGGGTATTGATAGCTTATATAGAGCGAGACACACTCGAACCCTTGCAGAGTTACTATCAGATGTGTGCTGTTAGGCAAGGCAATCATTTATTTAAACCTCAATTTTCCATACACTGAATGAATATAATAATAAGACCTTATTCATGGGGTTGTTCTTGGAATTAAAGGGAATGAGAATACAATGAAATACATGCAGCTGTTAGATGAACATGTTTGCAATGTGACAAAATGATGACCAAGAACTAGTTAAATTAATACATTTAAGATGTTGATATTATAAATATAACATAAAACATGACATATAACATTTGCAGAAAATATTTGGTAGATATAGAAACATGGAAATCTGCACTTTTGTGGAACCATCAAGAAAGATTTACTTTTCATATTATGTTCTTTAATAGTATGTGATGCCTTGCTATTTCTTTGAATTGCTTTATTAAAAAATTAATGGTTTAATTTTATAAAAAAGGATATAATATAATTCATTAAAAAGATTAGCGCATTGTCTGGCTTATAGCTAGAGCTCAGTGAATGTTGGCTGTTTGTATAATGCCAATAATGAATGCTTCTTTTTCCCCATGAAATGTGATAGACATCTTTGCTGCTGCTCCAATAAGTGATGTGAAGTTTTATTTTTAAGTTAAATAGGAGAGCTGCACAGGGACAGATGGATTTACAAAGTCCATTTGATAAATATCTCCAAACGTGGCTACATTATACCCCCCTTGGAATCACCAACTGTATGAAGGGTTGCTTTAACAAGCGTGTTAGCAATCTGAAGTTTTCCTCATCAATATCCGGTCCACAGAATGAGGGAAGCAGTGCATCTTGCCTCACCTCCACCAGTCATAGCATTCTAGAAACTTGGGTCTTGGGCGGCTTTTCTATTTCAAGAGGGACTGACAAATTAGAGCCCAGGCAGGGCGTGGCGATCAGGGCGTTGCTCAGGGTGCAGATTCCGTGTCCAAATGAAAACCTGAGGAACTAAGTAGCCGAAGTACTGAAGTGAAGAGCGCCCTTATAATGACAGTTCAAGGGCTGCCACACAGAAGAGGGATTCAACTTAATCTGTGTTAGTTCCTTAGGGCAGAACTGGGACCACTGGGTAGAAGTTAAAAGGAGACATATTTCAACTTCCAGCCACAGCTAAAACCCAGCATGCCATGATTTATAGCAGTAAATGCTACCCTAGGCAAGGATAGACTTTTCTGTTAAATTCTGAAGATAAAATGCACCGGAGCATCTGGATTCTTATAAGGATAATGTCCCAAACCTAAACTAAATGAATAATCCCGGTAGATATAGCTTTACAAAGGTTAGATACATGTAGCAGTTGTACTTTGCACTGGATGCAGCTAAGCCGGCTGCAAAACTTCATGCTATCGTTGGCTCTGTCCCGTTGCCTCACCTGATTTCAGCAACACACACCAGCCCCTTGATTCTGCCTCATCAGTGTGTTCAGCCTCCATCTCTTCATTCTGGAACCACCATCTGCAGAATTCAGCGACTGGACATAGTTCTTTTATGATGCCGGATTTATTTCTCTGCCTCCAAGCCACCCCCCTACCCCTGGCCATTTTTCATCCTCCTGTGTCTGCTTGGCTATGCATTTATACTTCTGCTATTGTAGCTTCTGCCTTGCATCAACGTTAATTGGCTAATATTTGTTTTCTTTCACTGACATATAAGTACCTTGAACATTTGAAAATGATATATATGTGTGTTCTAGTACCTTAGAACAAAATATGCCACAGTAGATTAATCACACCTGTTTACAAAGACTAAGAACCAACTACATGTTGATTTAAATGGTTATTGGCAAGCTATTCTACTGCTTTATCATCCTCAATTTCTACAGAGATCATCTCTCTCTGATGGTTGTTAGCAACAACAAAATACAAAGCAAACAATTGGAAGAGGATTTCATATAATGATGCATATCAATCATATTTAACTCATTAAGGAAACCTACACACAATATAGATGTACCTTCTTCAGAATTTCTGGGGTTGGTGTTGTGTGTGTGTTTTTTTTTTTAACTTTTATTTGTTGTGTTTTTTTTTTTTTAGATTTGTCAAAGGTGATATTCCAATTTTTGGAAAGCCATGATTGCATGCAAACTGATGGTACAGTTTTTAATGCTGGGACAGATTTTGAGTGGACATGGTCCACTGTGCTATACAGGGCATGAAGTGTTTGACTTAAGGAACACATTGTCGGTGTTGGAAGTACTAATGGAGGCAAACCTCAACAAGACACAGTGATGGGCTACTCAGCTCCCACTGGGTATTGAAGCAACTTCCTTAAGAGTCACTGATTCCTTCAGATGTGTTATCACCCTTTCAGGCCAATGGAACCTTTGGTGGTTTCAGGGCTTTCCAGCTAGCACCTTCATTTTCATCTCTGGCCTCCTGTACTTTGTGCAGAAATATACTTGAGAGTTTTAAATAATGAATTCTGGTTTCATAAGCACCTCACCCATGATGAGCAAGATAAGATGGAAGCCTTTGTATCAAAAAGAGGTGAGACCTTAGAATCAGGATCAATGTTACAGGTTTGCCCTCAATTTCTAAAAATATAGCTCAAATCTGAGAATCTAGCACATTAAAAATAGTCTACATCTTTCCAAAATACTACTTTTTTTAACTTTGAAGAACTTTTTAAGGAATGAAAAGCAAATATATTGATAGGAGACAAAAGGTATTACTTTATGAATTTCACAAATAAAATTGTTCTTATAATAGTTTAGCAATTTTGCAAGAAATTGATCTTATATTTACTAGCTCAATTTCTGAAACTATTATTTATTAAACCTCTCCTCTGTTATAGGAATAGTCCTGCTCTTCGGTGGGCATATACAGTCAAGTTAATGGACTACAGTCTAGGAAATGACATTTCTTCACAATGCTTTATCAGAATGATCGCGTTCTTAATAATCTATTTAATGTTTAAAATACCACCATTCTGAGCTGTAACTCCACAAAAGCAGGAAACTTTTCTGTCTTGTCCAGTAACAAGACAAAACCTAGCAAACATACAGCACAGTGACTGGCCCATGATGAACATTCAAAAAATATTTGCTGAATAATAGAGTAGTAGAAGTATTAAAAGCACCCAGAAAGTTCTTGGATTCAAAGATAGGCGTCTTACCTATTAGGGTGTGAAATCATGAGTTCATCATTCAAGATATCCACAGAATTGGTCAGACTGAGATTTTTAACCCGTTCTTCATCCTCAAGCACTCTAAAACTAAAGTTTCATGCTTCAGTCTCCAAAATGTGCCACAAGGTGAAGGGAGAGTATTTTAAAAACAATGCTCAATGACTTCTCCCCACTTGCACCTGTGTGCATTCCCAACATCATTCCTAACACCCGGGAGAGGAAGCGATCTTGGCTTGTATTTACAGATGACAGAGCTGAAGGTATTTCAAGCCACGTGAATGAGTGCAGGCCACAAGATCAATGGAGCCCTGCAGAGAGTTCTACAGGCACAGTATGAATGACTTAGTCCTTTCCTCGCCTAGGAGCTGCTGGCAGGGAATCTTTTTGCTGCTAGTAATCCTACCTGTGTGTTCACTCTTGGCCAGTGTGACATTACCTCTGGTGTGAGCCACCCCATTTCTGATTGCTACATGCCAGCATGCACTCCTGTTGCTACTTGGGAAATAACAGCATTTCCCCGTTGCCTCTTACCGAGCTTCACAGCATCCTCATCGCTTGTGATCAAGTGCTTTTGCTCCCCTTCCCACTGTTTCTTTAGTGTCTGTCTCTGTCAGTGCTCCTCACACTCTTAGCTCAGCCGTCCTTGGTGGCAACGGGCTTGGCTTTGAAGCCAGTTGGCTTGCAGAGTGGAGACTCAGAACTGGTGACCCCTTCATGTCATTTGAGGTTACACACAGTTGTGACTAACAAAATGAGCAGAAGAGATCCTGAACTGGGGTGTGCCTCTGGAAGTACGGTTACCTGTGATACTGGAGCCAATCAAGAATGTTGAGCATGAATCCATTTGCCAAGAAGTAGTAGTTTTGTACCATACACCAACAGATACCAACAGATCCTTTGAAAACATCTCATTAGCTGTGGGTTCCCTAGAGTTATTCTGAATACATATAGCCCCCCATGGTACAGTAGACAATATATGTCTGGATTTATGGTAACACTGTGTAACCTTCACAGACAATCTGTAGTCAACAATTGATTTTTCTTTTTCTGGAGATTAATGATATATGTTGCTGATCATTGAACTTTGGACATTCATAACAAAATATTGTAGATGATCTTCTAATGAATTTTCAGGTGGCACTTCCAAACTGTTCATCCTATCCTCTAGCACAGACAACCATAAGCACACTTTACTACCCAAAGCCATTTTGACTTCAAACTTAAGGGCTAAACTGTATCTAAGTTATAAACCCAATAATTCTATCTACTCAGATTCTCTGGTAATATTGGTTCAAGTCATAAGTATTTTTTTTAAGAATTCTTTATTTATTTGAAAGTCAGAGAGAGAGAGAGAAGAGATCTTCCATCTGCTGTTTCACTCCCTAAATAGCCTCAACGACCAGGGCTGGGCCAGGCAGAAGCCAGGAGCCAGGAGCTTCATGTGGATCTTTGGTTGTTTCACGTGGGTACAGCGCCCAAGCACTTGTGCTATCTTCTGCTTCTTTTCCAGGCACATTAGCAGGGAGCTAGATCAGAAGTGAACGGGTGCCCATGTGGGATGCTGGTGCTGCAGACAGTGACTTAACCCACTGCACCACAGCACTGATCCCAGTCCTACACATCTTAAAAATTTTCATTTCTAATACCAATGGTCGTTTACACATTAAAGCTATTTTCAGCTCTAAAAATAGCAGATAAATAATAATCATCGTTGGAAATTTCATCTTTGATTATGAAGTTCAGATCTAAACAGTTTCCCAGAGAACTTAAAATATTTTACAAAACTCCCCCCACCCCTGCCTCATTAAATGAAGTTGATGAAGTATGTAGTAGTTTGGTAGCTGACAAATGTACCTATTTTGCAGTAAAGTTGTATTCAGCTTGGATAATTGAAAATGTTAAGCCCAAATGACAGTTTTTATTAATTTCAATGACTCATGCTATCTCTTTATTATCAAAATCATAATATATGCAAAATTGTGAAAAAATTTTATTTTCATGTACTTAAAGTTCTTTGTTTGACCTGATATTGAATCTCCTATTTCTATTTGCTGGTCCCTTTGGTTAGAAATCCAGGGGATGTTAATTTATTTTGTCTACACTTAACAAAATCTGCAGATTGATAGATGCCCTCCATTTCCTTACAAAATACACTCATGTCCACTGCATGCTAAACACAAGAATTAGATAGTTATTCTCAAAAACGCTGGTGTGCTTTTTCATTCACCCATGAGCTGAATGTGTAATATCTGTTCCCAAGCCTGTTTATTCCTATCATAGTATTACTACTACAGAATTCAATGTAGCATTTTTGATTAATTATCATTGTGAATGAAGAGTTGTTGTAGGGGATAAAAGGAAATGAAATACTTGGGAAAACTCCTTAGGACAAAATGGCTGTTGAATCAGGTATGAGTATAGCAATGATGAGTCTGGAAATAATTCTTAAAATTTGGAAGCATTCTGTACGCAGATCACTTTACAACTGCCTTGAAACTCATTTTATTTTGAAGATGGTTAAACTTGAAGTCATGATTTATTGTATTTTTACTGTGGTTTTTGTAAGAATTACAATGGAAGCTTCACTTGAAAGATATAAAATTAATGAGAAAATGTGTGTGCATACATACATATGTATACACACACACACAAACACACATATCTTTATATTTTCAGGAAAATAAAAGGTTTGAGGAGCCCATTAGCTTAAATTTCCTATTTGAAATAAATTATTCTGGAAGTAACCAACCATCTACTGGTCTAACTCCTTTTGGAAAATAGCTTCTATCTTAGCAAAACTCTCTCTGGCTAGGGGATTGACCGAGGTAACACTGAGTATTTCCTTGAATCTAAGGATGAAAGGAACGAAGATCCTGGAAAGGCAGGGAAAAGCAGTTTGTGATTATTCACATTTCATGTCTGCTTATGTCGAGTTCTGGCACATCGATATGTGCCTCTAGTTTTCAGTTTCAAGTTTCTGAGAAAGAAACACTAACTCTATCAGGTAGACTAGCTACGCCTGAATCCCTCACTCATCCTGAATTAATCATCTGTGTTCCAGAGGAAAGACTTATTTTTTACACTCATGAGCCAAGAAAAGGAAGAATCATTGTGAATCATATACTTGTTCCCTGAAAATGAATTATTATTTCATCATTCACAAAAATGGAAGTGAAGAAAGATGGGGAATTTTATCCATCCGAATTAGGGGGAGTGATTTCCAGAGCTATGAGAGGTCAGATTGAAATTTCAGGTATTATTTCTGAAGACCTGAAAGGCAAAGAAGATCACATATAGTGGAAGCGTGGCTTTCGGAGGGGTAGAATATGAGCATAAAGTTCTAGAAGAAAACATAGAGAAGAGCCAAATCAAAAGGAGAAGAGAGAGAGAGATAACTAGGCACCTTTCTTGTGTGTCAGACACCCGGGAGAGAGGAAATGTTCAAGTTTTAGATGACTTTCATGGTGACACACTGCATAAATATCTGTGTTCCTCCCACAGAGTTCCGTAGTGGCTCAACCTCCCTGATATTCTCTTCCTACGTGACCCTGAAACAAATGCATGCGGCCCTTTTTGTTTTGAGGTTTTATGTCGAAGACTACCACTACCTGTAAATAAACATTGAGAACAAAAATGATTTATATTGGAGAAGTTACCAATTCTCTAGATACATCAACACAATTTCAAGATATTTGGCCCTGCTCAGTGCAGAAGTGTGCATGTGGCTGGCCCTTCACCCATAATCTACTAGAGAGCTATTGGGGATATTAGAGATGCTATTATACCTTTAGTACTTCATTCCCTTGTTTCTGGGCTTGGATCTCCTAAAGATCTTAATAAAAATTCTGTAGTTCTTGGAGAATAGAACCTAGCTTGAGTAACCCCATGTCTCCTCTCTTATCATTGTACAATCCCCCTTTTTGTCTCTTGTGTAGAATCCTCTCATTATGGAGGCTGATCTGAAGAATCTATCAGCACAAAACTAAGACATCATAGTGGATTCAGAGCCAAGCAGATCATATCTAAAATGAGGACATTCCTGGTAAGTACCTGTAATTTTAATGTTCCTTTGTTTCTCACAGGGGAAAGAAAGCAATCTTAGGTCATTTATGATAGATATGGTTTGGATCCTCAGTATATACTGGATAAAAGGATACTTGTGTGAATCAGTTTATACTGCACTTCATTATTGCAGAAAGATTATAGTTTTTCATTAACTTAAGTCATAAAATGACATCCAATATAAGTTATCTCTTTTGAGAGAGGTTCCCATGGAATGCATGTAGTTTTAAAATAGTACTCATTGTTTATTGAATACTTAAAAGAAGCCAAAAGTGATTATGTTCATGTTTTCTTAAAGAAAAAAAAGTTAGTTTTTAATCTATTCATGTTCCCTCTATGAGAGCATGTTCCAACTGAGAAATGGGACAAAACAGGAAATACTTTATGATCTTTTATGTGAAAGGAGGACTATAATCATCCCTTCTGTTTAGCTGATAATTTTTCAACTTTGTCAGTTTTCCATCCCTTCCTGAAGGGGCACTTCTTAACTTTTATAGTACTCAGTTATGCTGATGGATATTAACAGAGGAAAAGTTACATGACTTATTTAGAAAACTCAGATGCTTTAAGCATTCTATGAAGTGTAATATTTCAAACATTATACTTATCATTTTTACATATAGAAAGCCAACATTTACTTACTCTGATAAAAAAAATCAAGTAGGTCCTATGCCTGAGTTATTGAAAAAAGTTGTGTATATATATATATTGTTTACTTTCCTTCTATCTCTATATATCATATATATGATCACCTTATTAAAATATATATACTAATAAATTGATTTTCCTGAAATAATGTGCCTTTGTATCTTATATGTATGAATGATACTTAAATACCTCTTTTTGAATTCCTCAATAGTAATTCCTTTTATATGGTGTACATGATTTGAGTTACAGTGATTAAATAATTTTTAAAAAGTAAATTTTCTTACAACTATGCAATATGACTGCTACTTCTATGATTTATTTTATATCCACATACACAGTTTTCTGTGTATTTTTATTTTTGAAAATCATTGGCAACACAATGTAATTTCCAAGTACCATCAGCTATGATGCTCTTATCACCCTGAGAGAATCATCTACAATTTTTAACAAATAAAAGTGAAATCAGCCTCTATTTGTGCAAGTTTCTAGTGTGTTACAAATACAATTGCAATCTTGGTGTTTACTTCTCAAAGGAATGCACTAAAATATTGCAGAAAAGCCAAGGGGCCTATTGCCTATTACTTCACATTGCTTTCTCCTCTGTTGATATGATTAATAGACTTTATCAAGGAGATAAAAGTCTTTATTCTAGTATTTAGCAAGAAATGGTAGAATTTCACCATGAATGAGGCTTTGTTTTATGGAGGATATCGAGATTAATAAAAAAATATGCATTTTGGTGTCTTCAAATGTTATTAAGAAAATCTAACTCAATGACTTATTTCCTCGCTTGATGTGACTCTGGATTCTTCTGGATTCCTCTTATTGAAAATTAGCTCAGGCTGGCGCCGCAGCTCACTAGGCTAATCCTCTGCCTGTGGGGCCAGCACCCCGGGTTCTAGTCCTGGTTGGGGCACCGGGTACTAGTCCCGGTTACTCCTCTTCCAGTTCAGCTCTCTGCTGTGGCCTGGGAGGGCAGAGGAGGATAGCCCAAGTGCTTGGGTCCCTGCACCCGCATGGGAGACCAGGAAGAAGCACCTGGCTCTTGGCTTCGGATTGGCGCAGCGCCGGCAGTAGCGGCCATTAGGGGAGTGAACCAATGGAAGGAAGACTTTTCTCTCTGTCTCTCTCTCACTGTCTATAGCTCTCTCTCTCTCTGTCTCTCTCACTGTAACTCTGCCTGCCTGTCAAAAAAAAAAAAAAAAAAAAAAAAACAACAGCTCAATAGATATTGACTCAACTCCCACATAATGTTTCTGAAGTAGTCCTTTAAAAGATTACTTCCAGTCTTTATGTTTGTGCTGCTGCTTGTATTCTGCCCTACTCAGGATTCAGTGTCTAGGTCAAGGCAATCCAATTAGCCAATGTTTAGGGAAGAGTTGTAATATGGTGGAGAGAGGACAGTTTTGGAAATGAAGGAACCTGCAGGAATCCCTGATTTTCTTATTGGGTGGTTGCGTACTTGAATTTACTCCCCTAAGACTACTTTCTTATTTTCATGGAAAAAGCAATCACCAAAATAAGATGGGGGACTGTGTTCTGGTGCAGCGGGTTACACTGGTTCAAGTGCCAGCGTATCAGCACTAGTTCAAATTCTGGCTGCTCCCACTTCTGATCCAGCTCCCTGCTAACGCACCTGGGAAAGTAGCAGAAGATGGCCCAAGTGTTTGGGCCCCTGGTACTTACATGGGAGACCTAGAGTTCCAGGCTCTTATCTTCAGCCTTGCCCAACCCTGGTCATTGGTGCCAACAGGGGAACAAACCAGTGGATGGAAGATCTGTGTGTGTGTGTGTGTGTGTGTGTGTCTGTAACTCTACCTTTCAAATAAATAAATATGTCTCTTTTTTTAAAAAGATTGATTTTATTTATTTGAAAGATAGAGTTATAGAGAGAGGTAGAGACAGAGAGCAAGGTCTTCCATCGATTGGTTCACCCCCCAAATGGCTGCAATGGCTGGAGCTGCGCCTATCTGAAGCCAGGAGCCAGGTGCTTCTTCTTGGTCTCCCACGTGGGTGCAGGGGCCCAAGGACTTGGGCCATCTTCTACTGCTATCCCAGGCCATAGCAGAGACCTGGATCAGAAGAGGAGCAGCCGGGACTAGAACCAGCACCCATATGGGAAGCTGGTGATTCAGGCCAAGGCTTTAACCCGCTGCGCCACAGCGCCGGCCCCCTAAAGTAAGATGTAGTATGTTAAGCAAAAGAACGTAGATAATGGGTTCTGAACAGTAGGCCTACACAGAGCACGTGGAAGTACGACATAACCTTGAATAAAGTGTGGGTTTCGTATTGGCACAGAAAGAGAGCCAAAAGCATTTCAGGGATGAGTCAATTTGAATTACTAATGCTCAATCATTGATTTTCTTAGAGTCTATTCAGAAAAGCAGGCATGAATCAGACTATCACAGAGACTATAGCATTGTGAACTATGAGTACTCCGAGTCCAAGAAGTGAAGCCGCTTTGTAGCGTGCGTCTTGGTAAAGGTTCCTAGTTCACTCTATCTTTACCTGAATTTTACTTGGTCATTACTAGCCTTATTGTGAAATACTAACATATGTACAACTTTTCACCTTCTTCACGAGGGAATTGAGACTACTGTGAGTTTTTAATGACTCTGATGCCCTCAGAGGGAGGTTCAAAGTATTGCAAATAAGGAACGTGAGAAAATGATTTCCCCATTCGTCTCTCAATGCACGTTTCAGTTGTGCCCTCTACTTGTTATATGACCTTGAGCAAATGTCTTACATTCTCTGAATCTTCAGTTCCACATGTGAATATATAATATTCATATCATTGATTGTTAGATGCTTATATTGAGCATAGTCTGTTTAAAATTTTTACTTATAGAATTAAATATATTGACAATTCTATCCCTTATATAAACTTCAGGGGATAAATAAGTACATTATGGGATAAAAGTCTTAACAACTTGAAAATTCGATTCCATTTTCTAGGGAAAAACAAAAGGGTTTTATTTGAATAAATAACACCCACATAGCCAAAAAAATAAAGTTGAAACTTCAATGTTGCAAGAAATAGCTTTCATTATTTTTCTCTTCAAGTAAAACTGTATTCTTATATACTTTTATAAATGCTGTCTTTACTTTTAAAGGTGTTTTGTAACACAGTAAAAACACAACTCATTTTCTATCATCAGTAACACCAGGTTTTTTAGCTCTTTCTCCACTATCAGCAAGGAAGCAATGATAGGATGTTGTTAAAACACAGATGATGCAAGTAATATGTCCGCGAGTGGCTTGAGAAGCCTTGTCACAAGCACATCTTACTTCGGGTATTTCTGATCTTTGGGGAATTACTAATTAGAATCATCCCTGTACAAATTGGACCAGTAATTGATAGCTCAGTTATGTGATGGAATTTGAGAAGCGGCAAATCCAAAAATATCTTCCCGGTGTCCCAAGAACCTGAAAATCTCACCAGAAATCTGTTTGCCTTTCCCTTTCTTGGCGCCAATTGTACCTCCGTTTTGCTTCTCTCTAAGAAAAGTTATAATAAAAAAACTTACTTCCTTCTTTCACACATATCCATGTAGCCCATGCAGTTTCCATTTCTTCTTATTTTGGAATTAGACACCATTTTGCCTCCACTTGCTTTAAAGCCCAACTTTCATAAAACCTTTATTGCTAACTTAGGTTGAGAGGCACTATCTTTTCTAGGAACACTTAAATGCCTTGTGGTCTGTATGATTCATTTTGGTATTTAATCATTTGGTTATACCTTGTGATATCTATTCTAATGTATGTTGTAGAAAATTATTATATTTTCTTTTTCTTCTCTTATTTTTTCCCCCATTTTTCTTCTTCAATTCATTCTTCACCGCTTCCAGAAGAATCCTTCCAAATGTCACTCTTGGTCTCAAATCCCACTGCACATGCAATTAGTTCCAAATTACTTCCCTCGACTTACGAAACCATATTCCTTCAAGTCACAAAACAAAGTGAGCTCTTTCCTGTTGTAGGGTCATTGTTAATACTGCTTTCTGTCTAGAACTTTCTCTTCCTGTCTCTGTGATTGGCTTCTTCTTATTCTTTAATGCTGTACCCACAAGAGTTTATGAAAAATGGTAATACAGAGTGTTTTTTTTTTTTTGACAGGTGGAGTTAGACAGTGAGAGAGAGAGAGGGAGAGAAAGGTCTTCCTTTCCATTGGTTCACTCCCCAAATGGCCACTACGGCTGGCGCGCTGCGCCGATCTGAAGCCAAGAACTAGGTGCTTCCTCCTGGTCTCCCATGTTGGTACAGGGCCCAAGCACTTGGGCCATCCTCCACTGCCTTCCCGGGCCACAGCAGAGAGCTGGAATGGAAGAGGAG